ACTTTACATCAAGGCTCTGAGCGAAATTACAATTGACAAGCATTTCACTAAGTACAGTGGCTTAGCCCACGCTAGTCTGGCTCAGTGGATAGAGTGTCCCAGGTTCGATTCTGGCCAAGGGTACATGCCTTAGTTGCGGGCTTGATTGCCCCTCCCCCTAGAAACCCCCCCCCCCTCAAGTACGGGGCATGCAGGAGGCATCCAATCAATGATTCCCTCTCATCATTGATGTTTCCATCTCTCTATCACTTCCCCTTCCTCTCTGAAATCAACAAAAACATTAGGGGGCGGGCCGGGGGGACGACAGTGGCTTATGGAGACTTGAGGGTTTTAAGCAGGAACTGATACGGTCTCCATTTGCCATTTAGAAGGATCCCTCCAGGTGGCTGAGTGGAGGCCGGGTAAGAAGGGGAAAGACTGAGGCCAGAAAGCCTGGAAGGAGCCACAGGGGAGAGAAGAGGCCAGAGCGATGGCTGCAGGGAGGGTGGGAGGTTTGGATTTGGGACTTAGTGGGCAGGGCAGGTGGACAAGAAGCTGAAGTTGGAAGTGGACAGAATTGCGTAGACAGGAACCTGAAGCCGAGGTGGGGCCCAGGAGAACTGCTCGGAAAGGCCGGAAAGGGTTAGGGGTTGAGAGACAGTTTCGGGAAGAAGACGCTGCATCTGGTGTTTCAGAAAGGTGATGGGTGTGTGTGTGAGCCCTGGGGTACGCTCCCCTCTTCCCAGCTCAGTCCGGGGGCTAATTACAGGGCAGCCACCCGCCGCCTGCCCTGGGGGAGAGGACTCACAGGGGAAGGAGCCAGGGGAGAGGGCAGGCTGTAGCAGGAGGTGCTGCAGTCAGACTTCAGGAATGACTTCCTGAGGGCCTCTAGGGTCGGTGGGATGTGGCTCCGGCGAGACCCCATTGGTTGGGAGACAAAGATGAGGCTGCTGTGGAGGGAGGTTGGGAGAGGTCAGGGTGCTACATCCGACTATCTTTTTCAGCCAAACAGTTGGCCGTCAAGTGGAACGGGGGCTGGATCTCCATGATTCTTTACTCCCTCAGTCAGGGCCCAACCGTGGCATGGTCAGTCTTTGGGAGATCCCCTCGCTGTCCTGTGGAGGTTTCCAGTCCCGGAGAACACAGGAGACCTGGGTCTTGATTTTGAGGAGCTCCTTGCCAGGGAACAGAAGAGAACAGGGAACAGGCTTGAGCTGAGGAGGACCAGAGTGCTCATGCTCCCGCCCTGACCCCTACGCTTGACTGCTCCTTTTCTGGGTCTTGCTGATAACAGCTTCTTTCAACTGCCTTGGGCAGAGGGAGTGGGGCAAAGCTGGCAGGAGAGGGGGGCAGGCTTTTCACTCCTCCCTGCCCCATTGTTCAGGCCTCTCTTGTCCTTTCTTCCTCCTCACCCCACTCCTTGCCCTAAGAAACCTCAGACTCAGCAGCCAGGACACCTAGATTCTGTGGGGCTCCACTCCCTACTTCCTGTGTGACCCTGGAAGCTCATGCACCTCTCTGGGCCCCATGCAAACCAGAAAAATGATCCTCCCCATCTCCTTCCAGAAACTGAAGTGGGAGAGGGAAGTGTCTCTCTCTGGGTTTGGAACCCGCTGGTCCCCCTCAGTTCTATGGGGCAGTCTAAGCTGCTCCTTCGGGGAAGGGCAGGCTGGCCTTTCCTGAGAAAGGTAGGGGTGATTCACGTTCCCAGGCTTTCCCTCCCCTTTATGGCTCACCCGGATTAATCTCTGACTCACAAAGCGACCGGTTCTGTGTATATTTATGAGGTGGGGGGTGGGGGGAGGCGGGGAGCGGGCTTGGGCTAGACCAAATCTGACAATAGGTCAGTAACCAAGCACCCTCAGGACTGTTTTGAATGTCACTTGCTGCAAGGACCCCCTAGGATTGGGAATCTGGTTCTTTTTCTCCAACGGAATTGGGCAGAGAAAAATTGAGTCTTTAGCTGAAAGGATTCTGGTTTAGAGAAGGTTATTGGATACCACAGACAGACTGAAGGGATGACCCTCTGAGAATTCACTAAATGCAACTACACAGAGAGGCTTGGTTCTGACAGAATTGGGGAAATGGAAGCCCCAAGAATGGGAAGGCTTTATTAAAGCCATTTATTTATTTATTTATTTATTTATTTATTTATTTATTTTTATTTAATTTTTTTGGCACCCTAACAGGGACATGAATAGTAAAGTCATATAAAGCTGCAGGTAGGAATCCAGAGTTCCAGCCTCTTCCTGTCAGCCTCCCTGCGTCCACCTGCAATGGTAAACGCAGAGGCCCAGAGGCAGATGCAGCCATGGGGATGCGTCACCCACATCACCCTGCATAACCTCGCTCACACGGAAGTTCCTTCCCTTTCACCGAGGTTCCAGCTCCTCATGCCCCCATCCCATTCTAGGGAAATCATCTTAGATCGCACCGGCCTCATCACCTACTTCCAGAGAAAACCTGTGGAAAACAGGTTGGAGCACAATGTGAGGGAGAGTCTGGCCTTCCTGCTTCCCTCTCCCCCGCTCCCTCCCCACTCCTAAGCTGGATCAAGGAGCTCAGAAAGGATGGTGCAGCTCCTTGGTTTGAGTTCTCAGTCCTCTTCCCTAGCCACAGGGGGTACCGGACAAAGTCACTATCATGACTATTTTAATTAAAAAAATATATTTTTATTTATTTCAGCGGGAAAGGGAGGGGGAGATGAGAATCATTGACCAGCTGACTGCCCGCTTCCCACTGAGGACGGAGCCCACAACTCGGGCATGTGCCCTGACTGGGAATAGTACTGTGACCTCCTGGTTTATAGGTTGACACTCCACCACGGAGCTACGCCGGTCTGGCGATCATGCCTATTTTAAAGGTGGAGAGGCTAAGCCCAGCAAGAGGAAGTGAATCACTTGGGAAGGTAACCGGGCCGGGGCTTATTTCCAAAGTGGGATTGGCGTGTCCACCTCTTGAAGCCACCTGCTACACAGTACTGCCTGAGGTACTGACCCCTGCTTTCACTGGGATAATCCAAAATTGGGTTTGTGGGAAGGGTCAGAAGCTACAGGCCTGAAGCTGACTTTCACAGAAAATATACCCTGGCTGCTGCTGTGCAGAGCTCATGAATGAACAGCACTGGGAGAGATGTAGACCCTAGCTCACAAAGCCAATCAATGGCCTTAGCCAGTTTTGCTCAGTGAATAGAGCATCGGCCTGTGGACTGAAGGGTCCCGGGTTCAATTTCTGTCAAAGCCACATGACCCAGTTGCAGGCTCTATCCCAGGAGGGGGTGTACAGGAGGCAGCCAATCAATGATTCTCTGTTGATGTTTCTATCTCTTGCTCCCTCTCCCTTCATCTCTGATATCAATCAATCCATCTATCTTTCTATCTTTATGTATTTTAAGGCCAATCAATGTATTCGCTATGCTAATTTCAGCCATAGGCCCCGCTGTCCCATGAGTGACAGGGAGGGGCTGGCATGGGTTCACAAAGACTAGGAGACCAGAGCTCCCACATGTGGCTTATCATCTTGAGGATGAAGCCAAGTCCCCCCTCCACAAACAGGACCCGGTAATTTCTGTTCATCTTTCAGAAAATAAGGTCATTGGAGGTACGCCTTCATAGGGCTTGTATGAGCGTATGACCAAATTCCCGTAAATAAGATGCTCCCTGCCCCCAAAGAGCTTACATAGAGGAGACAAGGTTAAAACCCCTTGTTTTTTTGTGTTTTTTTAAATATATTTTATTGATTTTGTACAGAGAGGAAGGGAGAGAGATACAGAGTTAGAAACATCGATGAGAGAGTCATCGATCAGCTGCCTCTTGCACACCCCCTACCGGGGATATGCCCGCAACCAAGGTACATGCCCTTGACCGGAATCGAACCTGGGACCCTTCGGTCCTCAAGCTGACGCTCTATCCATTGAGTCAAACCGGTCCCGGCAAAACCCCTTGTTTTAAAAGGTAGACAAGCCAAGAACATGAGAAAATTAAATGATTTAATTTTAAACCAGAATTTAAGATAATGGAAGAGTTTGTGGTGCTGTTAGTGATGGCAAAGCACAGTAACTGCTCCAATGAATCCAGAGGCAAAGAGCCTCTTGGCTCGGGTGAGGGAAGGATTTAAGGAGGAGGCACTTTTGATCTGAGTCTAGAAAAACAGCAAGATTAGGGGAGATGGAGAAGGGCGGGGCTGCTGGATGAGGTATGGATCGGGTGAAAGGAAGCAACATCCTCCCCAGAGCACTGGAGCTCCTGGAAGAAGGACTCGGTCTGGCTCACAAGGCTCCCCCCCGCGGCACAGTGCGGGTGGTCCGGGACATGAATGGGCAGCAGCAGAGGTGGAGGGTGCTGGACACTGAGGCCAGGACAGCACTCTGTGCTTCTGCACCTCTCCTCGACTTGAGGGGAGTGACCAGCCCCCTCAACCTCTCACCCACATAGCTTCTCCATGTCCTCTGTGCTTTTCCAGGTCCCACCCTGGAAGGCAGCAGAACCAACACAGGAAGGTAGGCTGCCCCTTCAGAGTCATCTACCAGCCCCACTCCGCTGCTCGGTGCTGGTGCTCTGACCCGCAGGAAGTGCCACATCTGCTCTGGGCCCCGTGTAAAGGCCAATGCACCAAAGGACATGCAGAGGTCTAGGCACATATCCTGGCGATGGGAAGGGGACAGAGTCCCAGCCCTGGGCACATGTCCCCCTTTCCTGGCTTCCGGGCGCAGCCTAGGAAGAAGCGCCAGGCCAGGGCTGACAGATGGAACTTCTGGGCTCCTTCAGTTCCGTCTGCTTCAACTTCTGAGAGTTCAGTCGGGTCCAGGGGACTCCGTAAGACACATGGCCCCTACCCCACTGCTGGTGCATCAGACAGAGGATTGGGGCAGGGCTTTTCCTGGGAATGACTCAGTGTGTTCAAGTCAGCAGGCTCTCCATGGAGGGCTCACATGCAACGAGGGTGGAGGTGCCACCGCTGCCGCCTTGCTCCGGAGGTCTGCCATCCTGCTGTCCACCCGCAGGCTGCTCCTGAGCCTGGACTCACACAGTCCACCTCTCGCTTCGGGCCTCCACGGCCCGTACCAGGCCTTCACCCAGGACGGCAAAGTCCTCCAGGATGGCTTCTACGTTGGGCACCATCGCCATCTCCCCGCCTTGAGACACCGCCATGCGCCCCTTTGTGTTGGAGGCCTGTGGGAATCAGAGGAATGAAGTGTCACAAAGACACACCCAGAGACACCGACGCATTCACGTCACACCTGACACAGGGTCACTCGTGGAGCAGGCCACACACGCCCGCCCACAGGGGACACGCACGCCCACAGGGGACCACATGCGCACACTCAGGAGCAGATGGCTGTCACCAGCCAGCGCACCTTGAAAGGGTGGGGCTGGAAGCTGGTGGGCCTCCAGAGGACTCCAATCACCTCTCCACCATGCTGGTCGTAGAAGAAGAGGGCCAGGTCCCCATAGGCCTCCTAAGAAAGAGCAGGACGGAGACAAGGTTACGGGACAGAGTCACCTCCATGTCCCCTCCCCAGGGTCAGTCAGCCCTGAGGACCCACCCTGAGCTGTGCCAGGTAGAGCTGAGGAGGGTCGTAGCCCAGCACGGGCATCAGGGACGAGGGCGCCGGCTCCCTGAGCAGGCCCCGGCAGAAGGAGGCAGCTGGTGAGTCCACAGCCTGGCGGTGCCGGGGGATGTGGCGGGGAGACAGGCGGATCAGCACATCATACATGTCCAAGGGCGGCCGGAACACTGTCTGAGGAAGGACAGGGAAGGTCAACAGTGCCCACTGAAGAGTTCAGAACTGACCACAAACCTTTCTACATGTCCACCTTGACTTCTCCCCCTTGATGTGACCGCCTGAATGCTCACATGAAGGCAGAAACAAGAACCAGCTGGTGCGAGCTTGGGTCTAGCACAAGGAGATAGGCTGGGAGCGTGAGGCCTGGATGGAGCTGGGGCCCCGGTTCTCCTCTAGGCCCCGCCACTGCCAGTCACCCTGGGCAGCTTCAATCTCAACAAACAGGGGACTGGGCATCCCCCGAGGGCTCCTGGAACTCCGGACTTCCAGGTTCAAAGGTGGGTCCCCAGAGCCCGCGGAGTCAGTCCTGCTCAGGGGCTTACCCTGATGTCTCCAGGCCCCCGGGGATCCATCAGCTGCTTCTCTAGGATCGGCAAGGCCTCGGCTGCCAGGACCACAAGCTGCTGCAGGATCTGGGGACACACACACACACGTGTATCAAGTCAGTCTGACCTGACCACAGGTCTCCCTCAGCTCAGGCGAGGCCTGCTTTTCCCGTGGGAGAAAACCACACATTTGGGGGCAGAGATGGGAGTGAACCTGGGGCGAGGGTCCATCCTGCGTCCATATGGAGTGTTTGCGGTCCTGAGGGGTAATGATGACCATGACGGGGAGTTGTTTCCGAGCTGCCAGGAAGCCACTGCGGATCTCCGCCTGCTCCTCCGCTGTGGGCAAGACGGAGCCTTGGCTCAGCTCGCCCCTCTCCCCCAGATGCCCTCCCCCGCCCCAGGTCCTCCTCCTGCACACCCAGCGGCTACCCATCACAAGGACTTCCCAACACACCTCCAGGGGGCAAAAGTGGTGAAAGGGACATGGGATTCGCCTTTTCAGTCAGGCAGGGCGTTAACTGCAGCCTCAGCCCAGAGGAAGAATTTTCCACTGCCTGGCACCCATCTGGTTTCCAGGCCCGAGCAAGCTGAGGCCTGGCCCCACTGCCTCCCACCCCAGGCTCCCCCACACCTGCGGGATTAGAAAGCTGACACCTTCCTCTCTGCTGGGACCAGGAGCTCCTCATGTTACAACCAGAAAGCATCACTCCCACCCCACCCCCAAGAGGTCCGGGGACTTTTTTTTTTTTTTTAAGAGAGAGAGGAAGGGGTTGGAGGGAGAGACAGAGATTGCTGCCCCACTTATTTATGCATTTACCGGCTGGTTCTTGTATGTGTCCTGACCACGGATAGAATCCATAACCTTGGTATATTGGGACAATACTCTAACCAAGTGAGCTACCCACCCAGGGCAGTGGGCATGTATTCTAATCTGACCCTTCCCTGTTCCCTACCACATAAGACTCCTCATCTGGTGCTTAGAGTCCTCCTTCCACTCTCCTCTCCCCTTCACAGCCCTCCTGGCAGCCTGCTTACTACCCCCAGTCCACTGTTTCTGGTCAGCACATGACCAAACCACATCTCTGAGTCTCAGAGTTCCCTAAAGGCTTGCTCTGGGCCTCTCCCTCCTCCTCATTCCCCACCCCAAGGCAACCAGGGTCAAGTGTAGCAATCTGGGACAGGGGAGGTACGGGGAGAACCTAACAGATTGACCAGGAAAACCCCTGCCTGCCACACTCTGCAATCTACAAAGTCCTACCACTTACCAGTGAGTTCATTGTTGAGGTTGACAATAAGGGGGTTGTTCTTCCAATCAAAGGTTGACACCAGGAAAAGGAACCGAAGGAAGCCCACCTGGGGGGAACTGGGGGAGAAGGAGTGAGCAAAGTGGGTCCAGGCCCACATCCCCAAGCTTCCTACAGTCTAGGGGCTAGACCCCTTGGCATGGATTGAGGGTATGTCTCAGAACCCCTTCTGTCACATGCCTCAGCCACCCTCTCCCATCTGGACTGAAAGTGCAGCACAAGGGATCAAAGCTGGCCCCAAGGGGACTTCCTGGCAGAGAAAAGGCGGAGGGAGTCACCTGGGAAGGGTGAAGGGCTCAGGGTGCAGGAAAAGAGCGGCAGCCACCAGGTCCAGGCTCTCATCAGTGAAGCCCTCGCCCAGGAGCTGGGCACGCACCCACCGCTTGGTCAGCCGAGCCACACCCGAGAAGGCTGGGTGCTGCTGCTGGAGTCTGGGGGGAGGAAGGGGAAGAGGGAGTGGCAATGAGACTCAAGCACTCAGGACCCAAGACCAGTGTTTCAGCCCTCGTGCCACTGCTTATTCAAACTTCACCAACACTAGCTCCGTGCTAATGCATTACATGTACGACCTCATGCCTTCCTAACTAATGACCCAAGAGGTCAGTCCTAGCATTACTCCCACTTTATAGATGAGAAGAATAAGGTCCAGGGGAAATCGGCCGATAGGGATTTTTTTTTTTTTTTTTTTTTTTTTTTAGCCAGTGAAATAGCAAAGCCAGGATTTTAGAATTTGCCTGACACCAGAATGCATATCCCTAAATATTACGCCAGGTGGCCTCCCACAGAGGCAGGCAGGCCAGGACAGAATGGGGGCAGAAATGGGTCTACAGACACAAGAGCCCGTGCAGGGGCCATACCCGTGCAAGGCACTTGTGAGCAGGGGCAACTGCTTTGTGTCTTTCTCCAGGCGGAGGGAGGCAGGCGTGTCCCTCAACGAGATCATCCCCTCAGGGCTCCGCAGCTCCTTCAGGATCTGGGGCTCCCGCTGATAGGCCACACGGACCCGGAACACAAACCCGTCCTGTTGGAAGAGGGCACGGGATGGGAGGTACGTGTCTGCCTGAGGCACCCTGATGGCGTCTGTCCACCCCTCACCAGGGGTACCCCTGCCCTACACCAGCCTAACCTTCAGGACGTCGGTGTGTGTGGCCGTGGCCCGGCACTGCAGCCCGTGCTGTTGTGCCAGCAGCTCTGCCAGGCGCAGCTGGAAAGCCGCCCGAACCCGCCGTATGGCCTCAGCATCCTGTGGCCACTGGCCACTGCCCTCCAGGTGACACACCACTGGGGAGAAGGGCGAGAGGTCTCAGTCTGCAGCGTGGGGTGGGAGCAGTCCCTTGCATTCCCCCCCCCCCCAAGAGCCCCCTCACCAGTCATGGGCTCCACATAAGCTGGACAGGGCTTATCGGGCCGGGGCAACAGCGAGGCCCGCTCTGGAAGGTGCTTATAGAAGGAGGCGGCGGGCCAGACTGGAGCTGGTGGGAATACCTATGGAATAAGGAAGGCTGAAGAAGGGGCCTGGGACTGGGAAGGGGGAGTGCCCAGAGTCGGGAGCTGGGAGAATACCAGGTGGGTCAAGCAGAGACGGGGATCACCAAAGAGAAAGGGCTCTCTCCCTTCTCGCGCCTCACCTCAGTGTAGCGCAGCACTGGGTGAGCTCCTTGCACAGCAGACACAGTCAACGGGAGGCCGTCCAGCCCCCACAGCAGGCGGCTGAGTTCATCATAGCAACGCACCGCGGCTGCCAGTGCCTCCTCCCCTGTGCTGGAAGTCTGTGAGGGAGAAAACAGTCAGGAGGCCAGGACCCTGTGGAACTAACCCCACTACCACCAGGGACTCTGCCATCACTCAGGCTGCTGCAGAGCCAGCACCCCCTCTGCTGGACATTCCAGGAAGCGCAGTCTGGCTAAGGTGGTAAGGGCTCTGGAACCCCAACCAATCCAGCCATCCGGGCTCCTCTACAATCTTTAGCTTGACTGCAATCCCAAACCAGGGTCCGTACCTCTTTCAAGCCTTGGATCAGTGCATCCAGGTGGCCTCCCATATAGCGGACACAGGTCTCTGGGATGTCAGCATGGCTGGAAGAGGGGCACAGACACAGTGCATGTATTGGGGGCTAGGAGTCCACTGCTGGATGTGAACTGCTCTCCCCAAAAGCCTGGGCCTGACCCTCCTAAAAGGCTCCCCAGCCCACAGTTGCCTCCTGGCATTCAGATGCCCACACTCACAGTGCCAAGAGGTGGGTGACCACCTGGTGGGGAATAAGGCGCTTCTGGGACATAGAGCTTGCCTCCCAGACCACAGCTTCCCGAATGGCTCCATCCTGGAAACGTCGAAGCTCCGAGCGAGATCCCCAGAACTGGCGGAAGTCAGCAGCCTAAGGAGAGTAAAGGAGTAATTAGAGAGAACAAAGAAGGGCTCTGTCAGAAATCTCCCTGAAAGTTCTAACTGGTTTGGCTCAATGGATAGAGTATCGGCCTGCGGACCGAAGGGTCCCAGGTTTGATTCCAGTCCAGGGCACATGCCTGGGTTGCGGGATTGATTCTCAGGGAGAATCGGGAGCCTACAGGATCAATGATTCTCTCTCAACATTGATGTTTCTCTCTATCTTTCTCTCTCCTTTCCTCTCTGAAAACAAGAGAGGGCCAAATTACCCCTCAGACCTCAGGGTTCCTCACCTCGGGCTGGTCAGCCTCTGAACCCAGCTCAAGGACGCTGGTCAGTCCCTCAGGCCGAAGGAGCAATCCCAGAGTCAGGGCCCCAGAGTCTTTGTGCTTCGGTGGATCCTGGCTGATGTCCCACTGTAGAGTGCAGAAAGGCTGAGCTTAACCCAGGAGTTCTCCATCTTGGTCTAGAAACCCACTTGTTAATTATGGATGGTGTATCTTTTGTATCTCCTGGGACCCTAAACCCAGCCCACCTTTGACCCACAAACTCTGACCCCTCTATACTACCTCACCTCTGAGACTGGGGGCCGAGAGTGGGCCAGCAGGTGCAGCCGGGACCCCAGGCCCTGCTCCAGGAGGGTGGTCAGTGGACCCAAAACAGCTGAGACATAGTCCCCACCATGGTCCTGCAGCTCTGGCCATAGCTTCAGCCGGTGACATGCTGCCTGCAGACGGCTCAGTGGAAAGAGACTGGAGATGGGGACAGAAGGAGAATCAGGGACTGCTGGCCTCTATCACTTCTATCCCCCCCCAAACCAGGAAAATCTGAGCACTTGCCTAAGAACCTCTGCCCCATCACTGTAGCCCCAGGGAAACAGGACCCACTGACATACCCCACCACCCCTAAACTTACTGCAGGATGTGGTCAAAAGCCCGGATCATGGGTTTTGGAGTCATTAACAGCAGCTGGAACCCATCGTCAGCTTTGCTGTCCAGCAACGCCATCGACAGCCGTGCCTCGTGCTGCACCTGGGGCACAGAGACTCAGTTGGGGACTGGACTCTCCCTTCGTGACCTGAGGGCTCAGACTAGGAGACACGCCTGCCCTGAGCTCTCTGGAGAGGAGTTTCTGAGTTTTGGTGCTGGCAGCAAAGACGGAGGCTGGGCTGGGACACCGGGAGAGCCGTGGGGTGGGGAGCCACTGGTACCTGGTGATAAGTGGAGGCAGTGACATCAGCACAAAGGTTGAGGCGGCCTGAGGAGTCCAGAAAGACAACAGGGAAGGACTGGTGGAAGTCAGCCAGGGCCGGCTTGGAGGGGGAGAGAGAGAAGCCTGTCAGAGTTGGGGCTCACCTTCAGGTCTTCTTGCCCAGACTCAGCCCTGCCCCCCACTCACCAAGGAAGGATCTGAGCTGAAACATAAACTGATCCCGTTGACGGTCAAATCTGTGGTGGCTGAAGTGAACCAGAGAAGGTGGGCGTCAGAAAAATATTCCTCTCCCTGGGGACCCCTCCCTCCGGCCAGGTGGCTGCCACTGACTCGGGGACTCAATTTGTTCATCTATCTCAGTGTTTCCCAAAGTGTGGTATGTACACCCCCAGGGATACGGGAAGAGCTTGGTGGGGGTATACATTGCACCGAAGTTTGGTGGGGATATGCACTGCACTGTTCTTAGCTGCACCTAATTCTAGGTTCTCATGAGTACGAGGAGTACTCAGCGTTATGAAAATTATAGAAGGGGTACACATATGTCAAAAGTTTGGGAAACGCTGATATCTGATGGTAAAAGACCAAACTGTCCCTGACAAGACGAGTGGGATTCTTGGCCTTTCCAGGCCTATTTGCCTCACCCAGAAACTGCAGGACACTTCTCAGAACCTGGTAGCCGCTCATGGTGGTGTGGATCTTGCGTGTGGACACGAGGAAGGCCACCAGCATGGAGACGAGGAACCCACTAAATCCTCCCAGGCCCTGAAAGAAAGATGGAGAGAGAGGCCCAAGCTCAGAGCCAGCCCACCACTCGGCGAGGCAGGGAAGCCGAGCCATCCTCAACTCACTTTGTCCAGTTCTCGCTGCCGCAGCCAGACCTTCAGGAGGGCTACACCATCCTTCAGCCCCGAGGCTGAGCCCAGCACAGTTGACAGGAACTGCACATGGGACTGGAGGGCTGTGTCCTGCAGGACCCATGTGTTGTAGTGGGGGGTGGGAGGCTCGGGACTACCTGTGGGACAAAAAGAAAAGCCGTGAGAAAAGTTCTCACAACACCCTTCCCTCCAGCTCCACTGTGACACCAGCGCCTGCTCACCAGCGCCCGGAGGACTGTGCCCTTGGTACCAGGCAGAGCGCACGTTGTTCTTGGAGGGCAGCAGGCGGCACGGGCGGAAGAAGTCAGGTGGAGGGCACGGGTGGAGACGTACAGTGACCAGGTGCTCATCCTTCCCTGGAAGGGGACAGAGGGTGCTGAGACCCCGTAGCCCCTGGAGCCAGAGGGACTCCTTATCTACTTGAGGGCTCCACACACTCCCATCTCAGAATTTGAGATCTCTATACTTTCCCCTTCAAACTTGAGGCCCAAGCCTCTCACCTTGGACCTATGGGTCCTATGTTTCCCCCACTGGATTTATCACCACATCCTGTGCCCTAGGCCCAGTGTGTGTGTGTGTATCCCCACCCACCATGAGGCCGCAGCAGCAGCAAGGGTTTCAGGTGGCAGCCGTTGGTGTAGGAGAAGCGAACACTGCCAAAGAGGGGGTCTTGGGCCAAATGGTGAGCCAAGTGGGCCAGGTAGAGGGCACGCTTGCGGAAGTAGCGCTGGTTCAGCCCATCCTTGTCCTGTAGGATCTCCTGAAGGGGATCAAGAAAAGAGAGATGGGCCAAAACCGGTTTGGCTCCATGGACAGAGCGTCGGCTTGGGGACTGAAAGGTCCCAGGTTCGATTCCAGTCAAGGGCATGTATCTTGGTTGCGGGCATATTCCCACTAGGGGGTATGCAAGAGGCAGCTGATCGATGTTTCTCTCTCATCGATGTTTCTTACTCTCTATCCCTCTCCCTTCCTCTCTGTGCAAAATCAATAAAATATATTAAAAAAAAAAAAAAAAAAAAGAAAGAAAGAAAGAAAGAAAGAAAGAAAGAAAGAAAGAAAGAAAGAAAGAAAGAAAGAAAAGAGAGATGGCCACGCACTTTAAGTACTTGCTGTTCAAGAGTTTAGGGGCCCAGATGAAGCCAAGATGAGAATTATAGCTTAGCAACTCCAGGAATTTTCTGCTGACCAGAATTCCCAAGTAAGGGCTCGCAACACCACACTCAGTTTGCAAAGGTGTAAAGGGACAGCAAGTGGCCTAAGGGCTCATCTGAGTAGCCCTCTAAAGATAATTGCAGTGACCTATTCTTTTGATTTAGAATTCAGATTTCAATCCACTGATAAGCAACAGGTGGGGAAAAGGGAGGGACTCTGGGATTTGTAAGTAGTATAGTAGCAAGCCATTCCATCCCCTGAACTCTGGACCTCACCTTGGGCATGGTCAGTGCTACATCCACATTGATGTCCGGCCGGATGCAGGTGCCCAAAAGGTAGCTGCCCACAACAGTGACCTGGGCTGGGGGCAGGAAGTGGAAACAGCCCTTCACAGTATAGGGCACTTGGTGGAGAGGCACTCGAACTCCAGCTGGGAGCCATGCCTGGTCAGTCAGCTGTGGGGACAGAGACGGTGATACATTGATTTGATTGAATACGTCCCCTGGGTGTCTAGTACACCTCTCAAATACAAAATGTCAACATATTTGAAATCAAACTCCTGATCTTCTTGTAAACACATCTTCTCCACGAAGGCAATTCCCTACTAGCTGCTCAGGCCAAAAACATTTATATCACCATATTCATCTGTTAAGAATTCCCACTTCACTTTCAAAAGACATCCAGACATGGCCATATCTCTAAACCACCATTTTTTAGTGATCACTGCATAAGAGGTTCCTAAGCCCTTTCCCTGATTTCACCTATGTCCTACTCTGTTCTACTTTTTAAATAATTTTATTTATGTATTTCTAAAATTTGTATTTATTGACTTTAGAGTAGAGGCGGGGAATGTCCGACCCATGAGCCATTTAAGTCCTGCAAAATCATTTGGTCTGGACCTGCCAAAGCATTAACAGGGGTGAGTTAATTAAATATTTGACTAGTCCTAACTGGTTTGGCTCAGTGGATAGAGCGTCGGCCTGCAGACTGAAGGGTCCCAGGTTTGATTCCGGTCAAGGGCACATTCTCTGTTGTGGGCTTGATCCCCAGTATGGGGCAAGCAGGAGGCAGTGGATCAATGATTCTCTCATCATTGAGGTTTCTATCTTTCCCTCTCTAGCAGTCTAATTTTTAAGTTGATAATTGTTTATGGCCTGAAAATGATATTATATGGCAGTACGGCTCAATGGTTGAGCGTCATAAACCAGGAGGTTGAGGCTCAATTCCTGGTCAGGGCACATGCCCAGATTGTGGGCTCAATCTCTGTTAGGGCTGCGTAGGAGGCAGCTGATCAATGTTTCTCACTCAACAATGTTTCTGCCCCTCCCTCTCCCTTCCTCTCTCTTTAAAAAAAATTTTTTTAATTAAAAAATTAATCACAAATCACTCCCATCCTCTGATATTCCCATAATCCCCTTACTTCGACCTACTTTTTTAAAATTATTATAATATTTTCATGGTGCTTACTACCTTCTAATTTACCATGTAGTTAGTTTACTTGTCATGCTTATTACCTATTGTCCATAACCCCAACACTAAAACAGGCTGCTTTGTTCACTGATGCAGCCTAAGAACACAAGGCATTTATATACTGCAAGGCATATATAAACATTTGCTAAATGAATGAACATGTGACTGATCGCACTCCCAGCTTTGCCTCCTGGCTACGAGAATAAGCTTCCTGGCACCCTAGCCTCTCCAGAGAACAGCAAGGCCCCTGTTTCTGGGCTTTCCAGTGTCCTATACCACCGGCCTTACCTCTGTCTCGGGGGTTGAGGGCACCCTCATGATCTTTTGGTTGACATCCCGTAGGAAAGCATCAATCCGCTCCTTCTTCTTCTCTGACAGCTTCACTTCCTTCAGTAGCTCCTCTACCTAGAAGAAGGGGTGGGGAGAGTCTTTTATCCTCAGGACCTCAGGTCTGGCCCTCTCAGCGAAGCCCCAGCCACACACGGTACCTGTAGACGAAGCAAGCTGGAGTGGAACAGGCTCTCAGTCTCCCGAAGGCGATTCAGTTCCTCGCTGGTAGGTTCCTTGTACAGTTCTGTCCGGCTAAGCTTCACTGGCTGCAGGAGACCCTCCGCTGGAGACCCAGCCGCTCCATGCTTCTTTGAAAATTCCTTCTTCCCCTCCTTGGCTGTGCCTTCCAGCGTTGACTCCATCATCTGTGCCCAGTGAGAGGGAGAAACCAGGGTGAGGTCATAGATGTTTATCGATAATTCTCTGCCACCTAATAGGATATGGGAAAGAGCTTTACTGGCATCTGCTCCCTCTTTTGAATGGGAGTCAGACTGTGTAAACACTCAGGATCATCATTCCTTAGAAGAACGTTACTGAGCTCTAGACAGAACTCCTTGAGTGGAGGGTTCCCTGTCTACCTGACACACAAGCAAGGAGCACCGGTAGGGGAAGTAGCTGACGGGGCCCTATCCTAAGCCACACCTGAGTTCCTTGTATTTCCAGGGATCACGCATCAGGGTGCTTCTAGTTCTGCTGGGTCAGTCCTGGGACTTTGCAAATGCCATCTTCACCCTTTCTCTATTCAAATCCTGCCAGGTTCCATCTCCCCTAGCAAGCCCTGACTAACTCTGGGGCTTAGTACTGTATACGCTAGTACTTAATTAGTGATGGAAAGAACTAGAACTTACTGGCTCTGGCGAAAACACTCAATAAGACACCCCAATCTCACAATAATCCTGGAAGAAAACGAACACTTGAAAAAGTCCCGCGAGCCCGAGGTTCCAGAGTTGGTATGCCTATACGGTGAGCAGACTTCAAATCCTGGTCAGCGGGATCCCAAACCTTCTCCACGGGAGCCCTGGGCCCCGCCCCCCAGGTACAGATCCACATGCGCCACCATGTGCCCGGCGGGAGGCATCGGACGGATGGAGCCGATCCAGAGAGACCCGCACTCGTGCCCCTTGCTGGAGATCAGTCAAGCTTTGCCACCTCCACCACGTGGAGCAGCACCCTGTCCTCCCAGATGGCTCACCCACCTCCGGATCGCCGGCAGCTCCGGGAAGCTGGGCTCCCACAGGCGCTGGCCCCATCCCTCCGGGTCGTCTGGCTCCCGCGAGTCAGGTTTAAAGCGGGCGGTACAACTTCTTCCCACAGCGACAGAACCTCCGGAGCCCCTCCGCAGAAGCTGGACCCCTCAGCAGGCCTCCTGCACACCCCAAAAGACCTGCTGGGGTACCCCAAGAAGAGACATTGCCAGGGCCGCCCCAGAAAACGCCAACGAGCCACGTGCCGCAAGACTCCGCCCAGCTCCAGAGTCATTGGACCAGTGCCCCGAAGGGTTGCTCGCCATTGGTTGCTGTCAATCTTCGGGGCCGCCCATTTTGGGGGTGGAGTCAAACAGATTTGCTTCACGGTCTCTTTGCGACACCAGACAGGAAGCTGGCCGGTAGTTGCTGGCCGCTTCCTTTTTCCTCACTTCCTCCGCTTGGGTCAAGAGGACAAGGGCGGAGCTAATGTGCGCCCTCTCAGGAGTGTTTTATTTATTTACACCAGTGATTCTTATCCCTTTTCTTCGTCTACAGCATCTTAGTAATTCACCAGTCTTGTCAGTTCTACCTCCAAACTATATCTTGAATTTACTCGTTTTCTGTTTTTTATTACCAAGTTTAGTCTGAGTTACATCATCCTGTCCCTAGTTTATTGTAATAACTTTTCTCCGGTTTATTATATTTTCCAAATGTACTGAAATGTTGCAATAGGAATATAATGAACGCCATGTAATCATAGCCCAATTATAAAGTTTAACCTTGATTCAATACTATGATATAAAGTTCATGCTCAAATTCTGCCTATTATCTCGATAGCTTTTATATACTAACAGCTTATTTCCTGATGCAAAGTCATGCATTCATTTAGTCGTTTTTCTTTTCTCTCAATCCGGAACATTTTCTGATCTCAACCTTTTTTGGTCTATTATGACAACGTCTTTGAAGAATATAGGACAGTTTCATTTGTTTATTTTAAATATATTTTTATTGATTTCAGAGAGGAAGAGAGAGCTAGAAATACCAATGATAAAAGAATCATTGATCAGCTGCCTCATGCATGCCCCATACTGGGGATCGAGCCTGCAACCCCAGCATGTGTGTCGTGACTGGGGATTGAACCAAGACCTTCTGGTTCATAGACCTACACTTAACCACTGAGCCATGCTGGGCAGGCTAAAAACAATTTTTGATGGTTTATCAATTATCTACCTCTTTGCTCTTTGAGTCCATGAAAGCAAGGACCAGATCTATAAGCCCAGTGTCTAGCACATTGTGAATACTCAATAATATGTCAAATGAACGAATGTCAATCTTCTAGTTCTGTCTCTTATCATTGTCTCTATCAAATTTATGCCAGGCCATATTGAACTACTTGGAGTTTCCCAACTCTATCTTGCCCTCTTGCCCTGTACCTTTGAACTTGCTGTCTTCTTTTTTTTTTTTTTAAATACATTTTATTGATTTTGTACAGAGAGGAAGGAAGAGAGATAGAGAGTTAGAAACATCGATGAGAGAGAGTCATCGATCAGCTGCCTCTTGCACACCCCCTACTGGGGATATGTCCGCAACCAAGGTATAATACATGCCCTTGACCGGAATCGAACCCAGGACCCCTCAGTCCCCAAGCCGACGCTTTATCCATTGAGCCAAACCGGTCCCGGCTTGCTGTCTTCTTTGCTCAGAATATTTTGGTTGTTTTCCCCCCAGCTTTTTTTTTTTTTTTTTAATATATTTTATTGATTTTGTACAGAGAGGAAGGGAGAGAGATAGTTAGAAACATCGATGAGAGAGAGTCATCGACCACCTGTCTCTTGCACACCCCTTACTGGGGATATGCCCGGAACCAAGGTACATGCCTTTGACCGGAATCAAACCCGGGACCCTTCAGTCCCCAAGCCGATGCTCTATCCATTGAGCCAAACCGGTCTTGCCCCCCGCCCCAGCTTTATTGAGCTATAAAGTACATTGTGATGATTCGTTGCATATCGTAAAATGATTACCACTGTCAGGTTAATTAACACATTTAACACATCCTTCACCTCACATAACAACCATTTATTGTGATGGTAATGGTAGTAGTGGTGAGAACATTTAATATTTACTGTTAGAAACTTTCAAGCATACAATACAGTATTGTTAACTACTGTCATCATGCTGTACATTAGAGCCCCAGAATTCATTCCTCTTATAAGTGGAAATGTGTGCCTTTTAACTAACATCATCTCATTTCCCTCACTCCTCAGTCCCTGGCAATCACCAGTCTACCCTGTGTTTCCATGAGCTTGGTGTTTTGAGATACCACACATAAGTGACATCATACAGTATTTTTTTTTCTCTGACTTACTTCACTTGCTAATGCCCTTACTAATGTTCATCCATGTTGTCACATATGGCAAGATTTCCCTCTTTGGCTGAAGAATGCTTTGATTGTTAAGGAAGGTTTCCTGGAGGAGATGGGGCTTGTGCTAAGTCTTGAAGCATGATTTCAGTTTTGAATTGAGAGGATGAAGCAGCAATGCTCAGGTCTGAGGAAGACCAAAGAGATAAGAAATTAGTTGATCACTCATCCCACATTGCATGACACTTAAGAAATGTCAAATCCTGTGCTTAGTATAAAAGATAAATAAGACATGATGGTCACAAGCCAGAAACTAGAATACTACTCTTGCCCTCACATTTGCAGGCTTGTCCCTCTACTCATTTAAATATAATGTCACAGAGATTTCTTCTGTCTCTGCCCTGCCTCCATTTAAAATTGCATCAACCTCTGCCCTAGCAGGGTGGCTTGGTTGATTGGAGCAACAAAAGGTTTCATGTTAGATTCCCAGTTGGGACATATACCTAGGATGTTGGTTTGATCCCCCATCGGGGCGTGTATATGAGACTCCAATAAATGTTTCTCATGTCAATGCTTCTCTCTCCCTCCTCTCTCTCTAAAATCAATAAAACGTCTTTCCATGTGAGGATTTTAAAAATAAAGTTGCATTCACCTCAACATTTTGTCTTGATTTCCTTAATCACCTTTAGTAGTATTAACCAAAATTTGCAATAATATTGTTTACTTATTACCTGTTTTTGTCTGTTTCTATCTCATTCTCTAGAATGTAAGCTCCATGAGGGCAGGATGTAATAATTTCTGTCTCATTCACTACTGTATCCTTGGAATTTAGCACAGGACCTGTCACAGAGCATACACTCAATACATATTTGTTGAGTGAATGAATGGCTCTATCCTAAGAGTAACTCAGAGGTTGGGAGAAGGCTAAACAAATAATTGCAATATAGCTTTGGGGTAGGGGTAATAATATGCAGTTGCTGTGGGCATGTTAGACTAGGAACATTATGGCATAGTGGTTAGAAGCAGTCACACTAAAGTGGGATGGCCAAGGTTCAACTCCAGGTTCTGCTATTTATTCATTGGGTAACATTTTTATTATTGATCTTAGAGAGAGGGAGGGAGAAACATCATTTGGTTGCTTCCCACATGCGATGGGCAACCCAGGCTTATGCCCTGATGGGGAATCAACCCCATCAATTTTTGGTGCACAAGATGATGCTGCAACTAACTGAGCCACACCTTTCAGGGCCATGGTCTGACTTTCCTAACCTCTCTAAGCCTTATTATACACAGTTATATAGATATTCTAGTAATGACCATGTCATGGATTTTTTGTGAGTGTTAAATAGGATACTGCTTGTCCGTCACATACTGATGCACAGCAAATGTTAGCTATTATGTATTAAAGGAAAATTGTCCCTTATGAGCACTACCCAAGACTTACATGCATTAAGATATGCAGAATGAAAACAACCTTGGCCTCCTAACGTCAGAATTAACTTTTCTAAAGCAAGTACCCCTCCCTTTTATTTATCTTACCAAGATTGATTTCCATGTATTTTCTTTGTGCAAGAAAGGTAATTGATTCTTCAGTAGAGCCCTGGTTGTACCAGGTGATGCCACAGAGACGGAGGGTAAATATCCTGGTTTTTTTTTCACCACTAGAGGGCACCAAATCAGTCAATTCAATCTCTATTTGCCATTATGAAACAATATGAGGAAGCACTAGTAAACTGTTTCTGCCATTCATTCTTCTTTTTTTCTTTTTTTAAATTAATTTTGGAGAGAGAGGGAGGGAAAGAGAAACATCCATGTGACAGAGAAACAACAATTGGTTACTGCCCATCCATGCCCCAAACTCCCAACCTGGGAATGTGCCCTGACCCGGAATCAAATCTTTGAACCTGCAATCCTTTGGTGTACGGGAGAACCCTCCAACCAATTGAACCACACTAGTCATGATTGCAATTCATTCATTCACTTAAAAATATATATAGCCGAAACCAGTTTGGCTCAGTGGATAGAGCGTTGGCCTGCGGACTGAGGGGTCCCGGGTTGGGTCCCAGGTTCGATTCCAGTCAAGGGCACGTACATTGGTTGGGGGCGCATCCCTGGTGAGGGATGTGCAGGAGGCAGCTGATCAATGTTTTTGACTCCATCTCTCCCTTCCTCTCTGTAAAAAATCAATAAAATATTAAAAAATTAATAAAATAAATATATATTTATTTATATTTCTCTTGAAATGTTCATGTTTTATTTGATTACAAAAATCCACATTTTTAACCAGTATCCACATTTTTAATTGGTACCGCTTAATAATGCAGATTTTATAATCAAAGAAAACATGATAATTTCAAAAGAAACATCTAAAGTGCTTTATTCAATGTAATGTCCATTGCTAGCTACACATTTCCCCCATATTTCCGGTAATTTGTGGATCCCGTTCCAATAGAACTTTTCTTGTTTTGAGGAAGACCATTCAGAGACCCAATTTTCCACTTCTTCGTACGTTTTGAAGTGCTGCTTAGAAAGTGTGTGTCATTAATTGGAGTGTAATCTGAAGGAGCAAGGTCTGGTGAATATAGCAGGTGGGTTAATACGTCCCAGGAAAGATCTTTTAATGTGTCTTTAATTTATTTTGAAGTGGGTGATGGTGCGTCATCATGAAGTAAAATTATTTTGCCTTGTCTTCTGGACCATCCTG